CCACTTCTAGGTCAGTGACTTAGAAAGAGTTTAAGTAATTGGATCAGCATGACACCAAAGAAACCATAATTTGCAGGAGAAGCCATCAATGTAAGCTTACATACTGCATGTCTCTCATTACAGGCTATTTAAAATATAATTTTAACTAGCCAAAAATGCCTAAACAGACTTCCTAGAATTCCCCCACTCCTTAAAAATCAGTTGTAGATTATACACTATGGGCCAATCAAGCTCTATTGTCTTCAAAATAGCATCAAACGAACAAATTACAGGTACGTTTGCAGCAGGATGTGTTTATGTAATTTAGAGGCACAGGGGAGTTCAGCAAAGACCTGCGAAATGTGATAATACTCTTTTTTTAGTCCAGCGAGCAGGCAGATGACAACAGAAGCTGCAGAACACTGACAACGAGGTGAGGAGCTACTGTTCTGGCCATCCTGTGTTTCAGGGGTCTGTGAATCACAAAGGAAGCTGTGCAGATTTTACAAATATTTTGTTAAGCAATTATACTATCTTTGTACAACCATCATTGGATTTGCCAATGATTCAGTTTGCATCCAATCATTTAGGCCTCCATACTGCATAGGTATTTTTAGATCTAATGGATGTTCTACATTACGATTGCAACATTTGTGACAAGCTTTAGTCCACATGTTACATGGGCTTAAACATTATTTTCCATATTTTACCCATACCTTAGATCAGGAGCCCTCAAACTTTTGAAACAGGGGGCCAGTTTACTGTCCCTCAGTCATTGTTGGGGGCCGGATCATCGTTTTGAAAAACAGAGGGGCGTGGCTGCAGTGCCATTGACTTCAGTGCACCCTCCCATCCCAGAACTTACGTCACGGCTTCCTGATTGGTTAGGAAGCCAGGCTGCCTACCAATAAGTGAAGCTTGCTTTGTAGCCAGTCAAGAAGCCAGACGGCATATCATGATCCACCTCCCTGCTTCTGATTGGCTAGGAAGCTGGTTTCACTTGTTCCTAGGCAGCTTGGCTTCCTGACCAATCAGGAGGCCGTGAAGCAGTTCATTACATGCCACCCGGCTTCCTGATTGGTTAGGAAGCCAGGCTGCGTAGGAAGAATCAGGGATAAAAAGAAAGAGGATCTTCAGTGTGATACACTTACTTTCGGGGCTGCTCTCGCTGGTTTAGGGAAACCACAAAGCTGACATACAAAACACAGAAAGCGCCTCCATTGTGTAAAACCTTTTAATAAAACAGAATAAAAAACAGCTGAAAATGTACTCACAAAAGGAGAATTTTATTATACATGAAAAATCGTATTTGACAGACTTGGCCCGCCGGCTATCAGTCCTTCCTGGTTACGAGCACTTGCCCAAATACTTGGTATTGGCACCGATACCGATACTAGTATTATCATTGGTGCATCCCTAGTGCAAATCCATTTTACTGATAGTTGTCATTCAAATGACAAGCGCATTTCTGAGCATGATGAAGGGCCCCAAACGCGCTTGTCATTTGAATGACAACTATCAATAAAATGGATGTGTCACTAACATGGAATCTGGACATCTGTTTTGAAAGATATGTACTATTGCACTTAAAAGATGCCCCCACAAAACATGTCATATGTTGCCTGTGGCATTTTTTTATCGGGGCATGTTTTATGTGCAATAGTACTTCCCTCCCCCTTTTCAATTGATATTTATTTTGATAAAAACCTTTAAATACCTGTTTAGAAGTCCAGGTGAGAAGGACAGTGAGTAGAACAGTCAGGCTGCCGGAGGATGATTTCTTCCTCGCTCCCTCTCTTCCTGATGTAACTTCCTCTCACTAACAGGAGAGAAACAGAGAGAGGAAGGGAGTGAAGTCAGGGCCACCTGGTGATTGCCGCTCGCTGCCCGCCACCTGCAGCTACCGGCCCCTGCCTTAGATAAAAGCAAGTATATTGTTGTAAACAGATAGACAGGGCAGGACTAGGTCACATTTACCTTTTTATTTTTATGAATCTGTGTCATTTTTGAAAGAGTAGCAGCTATTGTGTTCATCTAATAAAGTACTATATCCTTTACAATCACATATGTAAACACATTTTGGGACCACACATCTTTTACTGTCCCCAACAGTCATCACTGCGGTAGTGCAGCACAAAAAGTCTACATACAGTAAAAGGGCTAGTTGGTTGTGTTTGCTTCCAAGCCACAATTCCCCAATTCTCCCATGGATACTATAAATTCTACACTACCTCTAGAGTTTACCAAGTCACCAAGTCAGAGTGCTGAATTGTTTGGAGAAACAAAATAACACCAGCTATATCAGAAAAGTGTATCCCTTGAGTGTAAATAACTGATGAAGAGCATGGATGGAATAGTGTGTGCACTGTTGAATCTAAATACTGGTCTCAGGAGATTTGAGAGGACATTTGGTGATGTTACTACTGCGACCCCCGGTGTTCTTCTTGCTGGAGAGAGATCTGTACCTGAGAACCCAGAGTGCAAGGCTCTGCTTGATGTTGCTTCATTCATTCTGTGGATCTGTGTTTCCTCCACCTCACCTGCTGAGAACCCGCAGTACAAGGCTCTCTCACAGATTATGGATAAATTATGAAATGGAATTTCTCTAATCGATAGATTCAACCCCCATAAAATAAATACCTAACACATCCCTTTGATGGTTTAGGTTTACCCAGTAATGTTACACAGGACCATTTCTACAGCTAGGGTATCTAACCAAGGTCACGGCTAAAATCTCAGCCCACTAAAGCAAAAACCAGCTTTGGAATGCAGAATGTTTTGTCTATATGCTGAACTTGGTCCTTTTACTCCAATGAATGGAGACCTGCTGGAAATCTATAACCAAATCTCAGTGACCATACAAAGATTTTCACCACTCGTGCAACCAGAGTCATTGAACTGTCAGCGAGGTGTTCGTCCGGCCGTTTACCTTTGTGCAAACACCCAATGTAGCCTTTAAAACTTCATTTCATATTACTGGGCTGTCATTCTCCATCTGGACACTCGATATGGACATACAAACCTCTCTTTAACAATTCTTAGTCAGAATTCTCTCAGTGAGAACAGGCATCAGTTACAGTTCAGGTAAGAGCTTTTTACTATTCTGTCGTCATATATGATTATAATAAAATAAGCCATTATTGAATATAACATATGATTATAATGATAATATATATCTATATATAGCTATATAGATATATATAGATAAAACATTTATTTTTTTTGACTAGAACAACACAAACCGAGACAACAGCATTATCATCCTCATCATCATCATTATTATTATTAATAGCAATATTTTAGTATTAATATTACTTTACTTATAGATGTAAAACAAATTAAAATTACTTTATCAAAGCACTTAATTATTAAGTCTTTTTTTCAACAATATGGGCCAGAAGTTAAAAGACATAATTAATAAGAATTGTCCTTTTGAGAACACAAGGCTAGATGGATATTAAGATGCAACAATAAGTCAGCATTTCCATGATTGATGACAGAGCACCATGCAGACACAGTGGAGTGTTCCTGCCAACATGACTCACTGCTAATCACATGGTTTTCTGGCATATATATTTGGGTCTATTATTGTTTTTCTGAAACTCATATTTGTCATTTCTCATTAACATGCATGTTAATCTTCAGCTGTGTCTAACCTAACTTTTTCAAACATTTTCAAAAGTTTAGCAGATGTTATAGTTCATGTATTCTCTTTTGTAGCTCTTTTGGTACCCAATTAGATAAGGATACTAAAATCTTTTGTGCATCTCCAAATTGTTAATTTATCATCCCTCTTATAAGGTTGCTAGTTAAGTGCTGTGTGTCAGAATTTGATTGCAAATGCTAATGAAAATGTATCACTTAGCAATTTCCTCAAATTAGCATTGTTTCAGATACTCTCTGTACAACGTTTGCTTGTAAATACCAATTAGACTATAATCAACTGCACATAAAAACACTTTGTAACATAGCAAACATTATCAAAAACTGCATATAAGCAATAAATATTTTGTAGTATTAATGTCAAAACAAAAGTCAAGCATAGCATAAGAAAATGTATTGGTAATATAATAATAGTATTACTGGATTTTAATAATCCTATTGTGTGCTGGTAACACTAAATCATTTATCATGGTTGTTTATCACTCTGTGTTGTCTGATTCTGCTTTCAGGGAATGTCAAGGGTATTTAAGGCAAGTTGCCAGAGCAGGAAATAGGAAGCTGCTATTGCTGACTTATTTTTTTCAAAGAATCAGAGCCCTCCATATCCAAATCAATCCACATTCTTGCTGCACAACGGTGGCATTAGATTTTACATGCACATGGTTTAGGTCAGTGACTCACCAAGTGATGAAAAATAAGATAAGGATGCCTGCCCAGGAACAAACACCTACAAAAAAGTTATCAGTGGCAGCTTCTATTTTTCTATATTTTCATTGTCTAGATCATAAAATATATTGAGACTGTTCCTGATTTGTACAAAAATTGGAGTACAATTGAGCTTCAGTCAAATGCAACCAATGAGGCTCCCTGCATGAAACGTGTTCTAGATATGTTTTAAACCTGGTGCCAAAACAGATGACATTGTATACCTTAAAAATGCGTTCCAGTAATTAACAAAACATTTAGCTTATTTGTGTATCACTCAGCTGTAGATCCTCAAATCATCTCTGAATTGGTGCTGACACTGTCCTTCCTTCTGGAGGGTGGCTACTTTTGTTCCCCATGGTCCCTGTGTGTGTTGTAAAGTAGTCACTGCTCCAAGCTCACTTCTGTGATGGACTACAATCTCAATAAACATGCAACCTAGTTCATGTGATAGGCTATTATAGAGCAGTTTGTAGCCATGGTAAATATTTAATGAAGCATAATGGTCAATGCAGAGTGGCTAAAGTTAATTATACATATAATCTGAAATTATCATTTTAATCTGGGTAATTGTTTTAATTGATAGCTTATATTTATGTATTTAGTTAAATACTTGCTTACTTCATAGGGTCTGGCTATAGAAGGAGATCACCATGTCAGTCACCTTGAAGAGCATTAAAAAACTTGGGACGGAAAACACATCTTTTGAGTCAGATGAAGCAGGTACAATATATATATATATATATATATTTATATGCATGCCATCAAAT